GCCGATGGCAACGACATCTTTCTGTTTATAACAAGTACTTCTACGAAATACATAGTATGTTTTTCTTAAATTCAGAACAGACTGTCAAAGCGTATGATATAAATTATTATTACCGAGAGATAGGGAATAGTATTCCGTTATTCAAATACTTAAGCAATATGTGTACCTCACACAGTGAAAGGACCTTTTTTTACGAAACTAGCAATGCTTTTTAACAACTGTCGTTAAATGAAATACTTGTGAATACTTCCTACTTAATTCTGGTCCATAATTTACAATTTCACACGCCAATTTACAAAGTTGCCGTAGCAACTCATTGGGTTTTACGGTTGTTATACCAATTTTCAAATGATTTCCTTTCCCAGAGGGCCCAGGAGGGATCTCAACTTTAACAAAATCGTGACTGTCATTATCCCCTCATGCTAATCTTCATCATTCAACAACACATTCTCAATGTTAAGATTAGTGCTACGTTCGAAAAGCCAAACTGATTCCAGACTGTTACATTTTAATAGGCGTTTTTACTATTTGATCTCAAAATCCTCACTGATATCACTGAACATCGATAAAAGAAGGTCAGTGAAGACTCGTATCAAAGGATTGGTTTGAAAGAACAGGAAAAACTCAATCCTAGGCCTCCATAGGATCTAATCATCTGGAATTATTTCCCATTGTCTTAGGTTGTACAGTGTGATAATTGGTCTGTGCGATATTGTGACCTTTCCTTAAGACCCTGGTGAAAAATATAACGAGTGAGACTCAACTTTTGAAAAAAAAAATTCTTCATTATCTTAAGTTTTAGAACCCTATTTGTACTGTTTCACTGAAGGTTAAAAAATTAAACAGTTACACTTTATTTCGCTTTTTTAACTGAGTGCTATCAGTCGATTAAAATTCCAGTCAATCAAAGCTCAATTCTAAGTGCCATTATCATATTAGATAAACGTTTTTTTTTTACTCTAGGAACGTAATAGTCACTTGACCATGACCAGCGTTGCTGTAACAACATTCATTTTCCTGGTTGTTTCCATCGTTGTAAGAGCCTCCCCCACCCCCACAGGAATCATAGGTCCCTTTTCCACTGCTTCCCCCAGAGTATCCTCCTCCTCCTCCTCCTCTTAGTATCCACTAGCTCCACCACCTCCACCAAACCCACCATCGACATCGTAAAGCCTGGCTCTTCCACCCACCCCTCCCTGAATAAATCCCTTACCACCTTCTCCACCATATCCTTTGGTTCCATTAAAATACTTTCCACTTCTTCCACTGGAGTAAAACCCGCCACCACCACCACCTGAAATACAATGAGTATAATTTAAGATTTTCGTAAACAGAAGGGAAACTATATTTAAATGGGATGCTAACCCATTCGATTTTTGGAATTTTTTAGTAGTATTGTAAAACGCTCCAGTAAACCCATATCAGCTCGGCCAAACCTTACGTAATGCATTTTAATTGAACCGTTATCCAGGCGGTTTAATATTTGTATATAGCATCTGTAATACCTAGTTGTATAAACTGTTTTGTCTTACTTCCCATGTCCAAGATACTATGAATTTATTTAACACGTTACGTAATGCTATATTGCAGGTTTATGCCTGATGATAATTTGACCCGTACGGCCCCACGCGCGTAATGCCATTAAAAACCGTCAAAGTGAAAGCTGACGTGTGTAAGGTCGGACGAGTTAATGAACGGTGAGTTTCTTCGTCTCACACGAAAAAACAAAGGACAACTTTTTCCTCTAGGATCTTTATGGTGATTGTTCAGCGTGCGCTCTTGCACCGCGTCCTATTTAGGTTGAAAGCAAACTTTCGAAGTGGTCATATGATAAGATGCTTGTTAATCAAGTTTGGTCGGGCTGGATGGGAAAATATTTGAATCTCGGTTACGAGGTACGGAACGTGCTACATTCGGTCCGTCCGTCACGACCTTGAGCCAAATTTCTATTCTCCCGCCAACACCGGTACCGCTACCTTGACTCGTCTTTAAAGTAAATATGACCTATATGAGGATCTCAATTGGGTTAACCGTCAACCGTCAAATGGCCAAAATATTAGCTGTCAACTGTAAAAAATGGCAATATGCTGCCGTCAACCGTCAAATAAGCAAGCCAATATTTGCCGTCAAATGTCTCAGATATCCTTAAATAAGAATCATACGATTGCCTTAATTGGGATCAAGTTACATTTTTTATGAATAAAATTTTTGATAATCAATAAAATACATTTATGTAAGTCCTTTAACTTCTATTCGCAAGTAAAACTGGTTAGCGACAGAGATGACTTCCGGTTTAGGAACACTTATGGTGTCGTAAAACGTTGGTCAGTTGTCAATAAAAGGCGTCCTAAATTAACAGTTCCTTACAAACGCGTCATCATGAAAATCTACAGAAAAATTCGCGTTTATTTCGTTTTCTAAACGACATTCCAAAAAAATGTTATGCTTACAGTTGGTGAAGTGATGGAGGCTTTGTCGAATATTTATCCAAGTAAGGCCGGTGGACCAGATGACATCCCCGGTTCACTCCTAAAACATACTGCTGCTGAAATTGCCCCTTCATTATGCAGGCTCTTCAACATCTCGCTGTCTACGGGCTCTTTTCCAGTAAATTGGAAGCGCGCGAACATTGCACCCGTCTTTAAAAAGGGCAATCCTACCCTAACGGAGAATTACACGCCAGTTTCTCTTTTATGCATTGTCTCCAAGGTTATGGAAGGATGCGTGTTTAATCACTGCTACCCTCATTTATCGTCTTTTCTTCACCAACTCCAGCATGGCCTCCATCCAGGAAAATCCACAGAAACGCGACTATTTGAGGTGTATCACGCTATTTTATACAAACTAGCCAATGGCCAAGAAGTGGACGTAATCCATTTTGAACTGTCAAAGGAATTTCATAAGGTTCTACACAGGCTACTCCTCTCGAAGCTTCAGCTCCTTGGTATATCCGGTCCAGTTTTGTTGTGGTTCTCAAGCTATCTTTCTGACAGATACCAACCAGTTGTTGTTGACGGCATATCCTCAGACTGGCTCCCAGTCACATCAGGAGTACCCCAGGGCTCCATCCTGGTTCCGCTTTTATTTCTGGTCTTCATTAATGACATGTTGTGCTCCATTACCCACGGAAGTAAACTTGGCCTCTTTGCGGACGATAGCAAGGTATATCGCGCTATTGTTTCCAAGAGATGTGCCTCCTTGCTGCAAGCTGACTTGGACAACTCCAAATCTTGGTGCGACGACAACGGTATGTCTTTCAGCACAAACAAATGTAAAGTTCTACACATGTCAAAGAGAACCTCGCGCGAAAGAGAGAAGCATACATACCATTTAGACGGCCAGACCTTGGACTCGCCCCCTGACACCAAGGATTTAGGCGTGACTATCACTTCTCCACTATCATGGACGACGCACATCGATGAGATATTTGCCAAGTGTAACAAAGTTCTTGGTCTTGTAAAGTGTGTATGCGGTAGAGACTTTGTTAACGTATCAACTAGGAAAATGATGTACACTGCGTTAGTTCGCCCAATCGTCGCGTAAGTATCCTTTGTATGGTCTCCTTACACAGCAAAGCATCGTAGGCTAATCGAAAATATACAACGACGGGCTACTAAATTTATACTAAATGT